GGCTGGGACATGGGTGGCCAGAGATGAGATAACACAACAACTGAGGCACCAGGACCAGGGTGATAGAACTTCAGGAAAGACAGAGTCCAAAAGCAAGGTTGGATGGAAGGGCCAACTCGGAGTCATGGTCCAAGGTCAGGAACCAGAAGAATGCACGGCGGCAGAACAAGGGTGTGCTCAGGAGCAAGCCAAGGGTGAAGAACCAGGAGGACAGGCAGGGGTGGCAGGTCCCTTGGACAGGGCACTAGGATGGGAGACCCAGCATGGCAGGATGCCCAAGGCAGCCAGAACCAGTTGCAGTGAGGGTCAGGCAAGAGGCAGGGGCTGAAGCACGGCCCGCAGGAAGCCCTGAGTCCCTGAGGCGAGGCGGCAAGGCAGGGTACACAGACAGGCAGGGCATTGGTCAGGCGAGAGGCAGGCACAACGGCGAGGCTGGGGTCAGGAGCAGCAAAGCAAGGTGCGGGCACTGCTGCTGCAGGAAGACCATTCAGTGGAGACCATCCTGAAGGGAAGGGCTTGCTCTTGTTCGGTGAGGACGGCCCTGTGAACACAGTGGTGGTGTGTGTGCTGGTGCTGGTGCTGGCCAGAGTCGGACAGTTTCAACTCTCTGTGGGACTGAGGTTTAAGTATATATTTACGGGTCTCCTTCTCTTTCGTTCTACCCAAAGATTTTATGATGTCTCCACCCCTCACATGGCCTTCAAGAGGCCTTGTAGAACTGACCCCCCCCCCCCCCCCAGGAAAGACCTTCGACTGATGTATTAACAGCTTAGGAATCATCACACCTTCAGAGTGAGGCAGTGTATGAGCATTGCAAGAAGTTTCCATCTCGAGGAAAATGCCATGTGTCGTCACTGCCTTTGCGTGTGCAGATGAGGCAGGAGCTCATTTGCAGAGTAATGTTCTTGCCTCACATATCATTTTTCTCTCTCCCCGTTGCTTCCCTGTACTACCATCTCAGGATGTTGAGTTGTCATTGCTCTCTCTTGCTCTTTAACAAAATCTGGAGCTTACTGGGCCCTTCCAAAGAGATGCGTCAAGGAAATGTTCTAATGACAGTTAGAAAGGCTTTGATCTTCTTCCAGGACTGCACTCATGGCTTTGAAATGCGACTTTGGCAGCCCCCAAGTCTTGCTTCCTTGGTTCTCTTTGGCATGGGCCCAGGGGACTGACATTACGTCCTCCATCATGGGACCTAAATAACCTTGAGAAGCCTCCGTGTGGCTCACAGAAGGCAACGGGGAGGTGGGAGGGTGACAACTCATCCTCAGCTATGCTCTGCTGTGCTAGCACAACTCAACTTAGGGAGCTAGATCCTGAGAAGCAGCTGGAACCCCAAAAGCTGGAACCCCAGAAACTGGAACCCAGGATCCATTGGGCAGATCTGTAATTGGGATGCTCCACCACCTGCACCGTGTCCTTGCAGCCTGCATGCTTCTAAGCCCAATTTGAGATCCTGGTTTTAAACTAGAAAGCCTTGCACAGCTTGGAAGCGCAGCTTTGATGGAACACCTCTTCCGCCTGCAGTCTGCCCAAGCATCATGCTTGCCTTCTTCCAAGTCCCTGTTCTGAGGGAGGCACGAAAGGAAGAGAGGACTTCTCTCTGGTGGCCCCACAACCCTGGAATGAGGCCCAGTTAGTGCCAACATGGTCGTCTTTTCGGTGCCATGCTAAGACTGTGCTTTAGGCTGAGGCCTTTAAAAGCAGTAATATCTATGATACCAGATTTATAAGTGGACACTATTTCTCTCACAATGAGAGCTATAAAGCAGATCCAAGATGGTGTGCTTGTCATGAGTAGACCTGTGCTTGTGGACTTCTGGGAAGCATCTGGTTGGTCGCTGTGGGAACAGGGATGCCAGAACAGCTTAGGGATATCAGAGAAATCCACAAAGAACTCAACACACGTGCATACGCACAACGCGCGCACAGACACACATCACCTTAGACCAGCTTTTCCCAATTTGCTCAGATTCCACAAACTTGCAACCCTTTTAAAAAAGTTCCACATTTTTACACAAATTTAGCTATACAAAAACATGACAGAGAGAAAGACATTATTCCAAAATGTGCATTTACCCTACAGGCTAAAGCATGAAAATGTGTGTTTTCTACAGATTTTGGAGGGATTTGTGTGTTTTGGGGAGTGCAAGTTTGTACAAGCGCAAATATATGCAAATAGAGAGGAACTCATTGGTGCAAATGCCAATTTCATAAATGGAACAAAAGACACCAGCAAAGGGTGGATGGAACAGGTTTTACCATATTTCTAGATCCCTAAAATAGGTGAATCTTGGTTCAGATTAAGTGGGATTTTGTTTTGCGTTGCGTTGCATTGTGTTTCATTTCGTTTTGTTTTGTTTCAAACCATCCAGTTCTCCAGGTGGTTTATGAGTAAATAAGAGAGTTTTAAAAATGTGTGAACAGCCTAAAGCATAAAAATACAAAGCAAATTAAGAAGATTCATATAAACTCAACAACAGTTTCCCCCAAGCTCAGCAAAGCAGGAGTACACGTTGTTGTTGCGTTAAATGGAAATGCGAGAGCAAATAATAAAATTAAGTTTCCACCTGGAGCAGAAAAAGGCATCATGTAGGAGCTAGAAGGGTCCACTCACAGGATTTGCTCCTTAGTAGGCCCCTGCCTCACCTCAGGAGAAGGACTCCCAGCCCTTAACATCTGGGCAGGCATTCACAACATCTGGTGAGATGGTCAGTCTGCCAGCCATGTAGGGCATTCAGATTTAAGCCCAGAACCCTGAGTTGAGCCTGGAAATGTATTGGAAGATGAGCATAGAGTCATCACACTGGCCCATCCCTGTCCCATCGGACCAGCCAAAATTTCTAGACTGCTTTTGAAGGCAGCCCTTTACGTTCGTTCTTCATAGCCCACAACATTTAGTTATGAGGTGGCAAAGGTTAATAAAAACAAAACAAAAGCCAAATGCTTAGAAAGGGGCTTCAAAGATGGCAAGGCAACCCCTCTTTTTTTCCTTCAGAATCAGAATAAGAACTTATGTCCCTGTGTCTGCAGAGAGAGCTGTGTGTTTGTCCTGGCTTGGCAAAGACTGAAAGCGGGGAGGAACACATGAGAATTGTGTCAATGGTCAGAGTGCCGCGTCCTTCAGAAGAGAACGGTGGCCACTGGTTGTGAGATAAACATTCCATGGAACGGAAGCAAAGCCCCTGCCAATGATTCCCCGGGGACCTGGCCTCCCTCCGTACTGAAGCCGGGGCGGGTTGGGGACACCCAGTCCAGAGCTATTTTGGAGCTGGTGACTTCAGCAAGAGGCAGGGCAGCGAGGGTGAGCGGGGAATAATGCTATTGTGGAAATGCAAGCCTGTTTTCCATTGGGGAGTCCTCGGGGGATGATAGGAAGCCTTTGGTGTAAAGCCAGTTCCCGTAGCTTCCCTTCTTCTGGGAATGGAATTCTTGCAAAGTATGCAAGGAACCCGGCTCGGTGGAACAGAAGAGCAAGTAGTTCGTGAGAGCACCAAGCCTAGCAGACAAAAAAAACCCCACACTTGACAAGAGTGGGAGCAGGCCAACTCTTTCCTGCCTCTGGAGGATTTCTGCCCCGTTCCTCCTTCCCTCAGAAGATGCCCCATTTGCAACAACACAAAAAGGAACAAGCCTTTGAGGTTTCGTTGGGTTTCCATTGGGAAGCTTGTGGAATCCATCACAACAGGGTGTTCATTATTCATCCGCTTAAAATATTTCTAGGTTGCCCTTTCAGGGAAGAAGCTGAATCATGCCATTCCATGCTGTTGACATGATCCCTGGAGCCAATCGGAATTCACTCAGGGAGCAGGATATCCGTTGGGTTCTAGAGAAGATTTGTGATAACACTTCAGCACCCTTGGAATCAAATGTTCTGCCCTTCTTGAATATGCAACGTTGTGCAGTTGCACAATGACCGTATCCACCAGTGCTCCTAGGGAGACTTCAGTAGCGTGTGGTGGGGAAAAATGGGGAGCGGGGCAGGCACTGTGCTGATGTTCTTGTTCCAAACATTCTCAGCACTGGGTGAGAAGCATCCTGGTGCGATCAAAGTATTTTTGGGCCATTCCCAAGGGATTTCCATATGTGGGTTTGTTATTCCCATGGGTAACTCCATCTCCATGGATGATGCCAGGGTTCAAAGAACACGATAACCTGCTCTCAAAGGCTAAGTGCGGGTTGAGTGTGGGTTACTATCGAATCGTGGATTGTTGTTGAAAGAGGAGACCTGGTGTCCTGCACCAACAACCATAGCTTGTTAAACACCAAGAACCCATGAAGAACCCTTGGTTAAGCACATGGTTTGTGGTTGAGTTGTGAGCCGATGGTTGCTCGTGGTTCACAAAGTCCGGGGAAGGCTGATCGGATTCTTTTGGCTTCTCCTTGGGATGGGAAGGAATAGCCAATATGGTGGAATGGTAATAGAGGTGCCTGTGATCAGGAAGACGCAGGTTCAAATCCATGCTCAGCCATGAAGTAGGCTCAAGCACTACCTGCCGCGTTGTGAATTTCTGGCACAAATGTGGCATGAATTTCTGGGGCAAAGAGTGCGGTAGGATGGAGTAAAATCAGGAAGTGGGCTGAATCGTCATAAATAGCTACAGGGCTCCTGTGCTGCAGTCTTTGAGCATAGGAGACCTTCTAGACTGAGCGATACAGAGTGGAAGCTCACTCTGAGCAGTATCTGGAGTGCAGCTGACTTCTCTCGGGGACGCGTGCATGCTGCTTGGCTCTGAGAACGGCTATCTGATTCCCTCAGTATTTTCCCATGGGGTGTTTGCCTGCGTTGCTAATGAGGCATCACGAGAAGAACGGCAGGTAGATGTCCTGGTGCCCACCAGACCAGTTTTGACACCAGCTCTCCACCCTTCCCCCACAATGCATGTAACATCTCTTCTTTCTTCTCTCTCTCAAAGTAAAATAAAAAATAAAATACGTTCGGGTCTTTGTCTTATTTTTGACAACACTTAAATTTAAACTCTCCCCCCTTTCTGCTACAGAGCCTACTTAGATATTAAACAGCTGAAAAGTCGGCTTGAACTGGATGGCTCTACACACCTCAACATCTTCTTTGCTAACTCCTCAGAAGAAGAACTTGCTGGCATGGCCACCTTTCCATGGGACAAAGAAGCGCTGGTACACTTGGGTAAGTCTTGGAAATAGGGAGCTTCCTTAGGGGCTCACAGACATGGCTAAGAGGGAAAACCGGAGTCATTAATCATCCTGCTTTTTTTCGTCTCCAGTAGCAGCCTCAAACAGCTCAGAGACTTAAAAAAGAGGAGGAAAAAGAAAGACAACAAAGAAAAAAGAAATAAAACAAAGGAACAGAATAATAATAATTCCTGGTTTGCAACCAGGAGAATATCAGGTTATATACCCAAAGCATATTGTGGCATTTCTTTAAAAAAAAAAATCAGGCCAGAAATCTTTCACCTTTTGTGATGAAGCTGCTTCAGAGGGCATCTTCTCCATGCAGATAATCTGCAAAGGATTTCGGGAACGAAATGGGTTCCTGAGGTGGGTTTGGGGAAATACAGCATAATTATTATTATTTTAATAGGCTGAGCAATACTGGGACCACTAGATAACATCTACATCACCTCATATTTCCAAATCCAAGGTTGGAAAAGAGGTCCAAGCTCAAAGCTGGGAATTCGGAACCTCTTCGCCCATTTGTGGCCAGTGCGAGAAGAACCATACCAGCAGTTTCTCCAAAGCAGAACCTCAGAGGGCTCTGGCAGGAGGAGAAAAGACTGACCCCACCCCAGTGTTGAACTTTCTGTCCTTGTAGGGCTCCATCCTGTTCCCCCCCCTTCCTAAACAGCACAGCTAGATGGCCAACACTAGCTGTTTTCCGGAGTGGGAGGAGAGGGAAGGTGAAGTTTGGAGGCTGGCAGGGCATCTCTGTTGGATTGTACCCTAAGATGGGGAGAATGGGCGCCCTCGCGATGACCAGAGGGGTTTATACTTGGAGTATTTGAGAGTGGGAACAAACTGCTGTTGTGCTTCCATTATGTCCAGCTTCTTGGGGTGCGAATCGGCTCTTAGTCACTACTTAGAGACAGAGGACTAAAGGCTTTTGGTCTGCTCTGGCAGATTGAGTGTTGGAGACCATGTGCTGATGGGTATTCCACTGGTGTTAGCATCTGTTCTATGCTCCATCACTTCTTTCTTCCGCTTTCAGTTGTGCACCAGCGTGCTGAAGTGTCAGTGTTGAGAAGCTCTTACTACGGTCTGAGCTTCAGAGTGTGAAAGGGGAGCAGAGGACTTGACCCTCTCTAGAAAATTGGAGGATGACATTGTATATGTGAAGCGCATAGACATAATGCTGCTTTCTTTTCCTCTTATGAGCCCTCAAGAACAATGTTCTGTGACGGCCAGCATGGTTCTTCTAATGGTGGCTTTTAAATGGAGGAGGTGGCAAAATGTTACCCACCAAAAGGATCCATGGAAGCTGGCCATGAGTTTGGTTCCTCACCCTTAGGTTTTGCTCATTTGCCAATGGGCAAAAATTCCTTTGCCTCCTTCCCCTTTCACCATCTTACACTGACTCTTGTGCGATCTTACGAAGAGAGGGCACAAACATAACACAAACAATGCTTCAGTGTCTCACATGCGGGAGAACCCTGGTTCAACCTCTCACATGTGTTGGCCAAGACCCCTGCACAAGCCCATGTCGCGTTATCAACTCAGTTCAAGCAACATGATGAGCCACTTGCAAGGGTAAACTGTGGGTTGTTGTTGAAGCATGGGTTCGGTGGTTCTCCAAGCCTGACCAACCATGGTGAACAACCCGCAGCTCACAGCCCAATGGCAACCCATGGATTCTCTTCATGGCTTGTTCGTAGTTGATGTAGCTGGATCAGACAACACAAACACCTGCCATTCAGGAGCAACCCCCATGGTTCAGCAGCAGCTCACACTCAGCTCTTGAGGGCAGGTCATCCTGCTGTCTGAATGCAGTTGCCTTCAGTCCCGGTAGACAGTGGACGGATCTGTTGTGTGATTCAGTGTAGGACTATTTCTTTGTTGGGATGGTGGTCAGCATCTCAGCTGAATGAAAGCACCTAAAAGCTGGTGTGCCTTGAGCGAACAGGAACAGGCCATTTTAATTCAGCTGGCTGGATATTTTGGCCAATTTGCGTTGTACTCTCCTGCAGCACCTCCTGCTGGACCATCGGTGGGTCTTGGCCAGGTCTTTCTATTGACTGTCTTCTAACTACCAGTTGACTGTCAAATGCATTCTCTTTAGCACCTTGGATTCAGTTTATTGCCAGAAGGCTTTGTCCAGCTCAAGACTTTTCTCAATGATAATGAGTTACTGCTCTTCAGCCAGCAGTTTGAAATTGGTGCACAAACAAGAAGAAAAAGAAAAGCTAAAGGAGGGGAAAATTAATTTCCTGTTCTAAGGTCCCTCACTGCCCCCTTTCTCCCTCTGCCTCCTCATTCTGTGCTCCTCTTCCTTCAATAAATCCAATATGTATTTAATAACAAAACACAAGGAAATATGCTCTGTTGTCTAAATCTTAGCTTTCAAATATAGATCTTTGGGGAGAAGGGAACTATCTGGTTGATAGAGAAACTGGGATTGATTTAGATGTGTGATGACTGTGGAAAAAATATCCTCCAGAGAAGAGGAGAAGAAAGCCAAACAACCTGCGCAGCCTTCCTAGCCCTGATAAAGTCAGTCCAGCCTGTTTTGTGATTTTTATCTCCCCTACACCTCACCCGGCCACCTCAGGGAGGATTCCTCCAATATCTCTGACAATCAGAAAGGAAGGGTGGAGGGAAAGAATAAAAGAAAGAGAGGAGGTTGATATTGAACGCCTTTGTTGCCTCAGAAGCAACATGGGTTCTCTTTGGCTGATGGATGCTGAACCACAGTGTCCAAGGGCAGCATTGTAAGCTGGTACCACTGGGAACCAGTTGAGGCTCAGCTCCTTTGGATGCTGGGTGGTGCTCTGTGTCCTCTAAGGGAGGATGTGGCAAGAAATCAGAAAGGTGGAGAGTAGAGCTCTGCTGGATTCGCCCCTGCTTCCAGCCTGGGGCTGCAGGCAACAGGCCAGTAAAAGTGCAGCAGAAACAGCGGCAAGGAAGGGTGGTGAGGGCAAGACGGAGGACATCTTCATTCATTTATTTATATTGCGATTTATATCCTGCCTTTTTCCTACAAGGGGCTCAAGGCAGCTCACATCATTCTCCTCCTCTGTCTTTTCCCCACAACAACAACCCTGTGAGGTAGGTTGGGCTGAGAGTCTGGGACTGGCCCAAAGGCACCCAGTTGGCTCCATGGTGGAGCGGGGACTTGAACCCAGGTCGTCTGAGTCCCAGTCCCATGCTCTTCACCACCACACCACACTGGCTGGATCTTGCCAAAAGCTCCCCCATGAAACTTTGGGGACAACATGGACCACAGGACTTCTGCAATGCATTTCAACCTCTCCCTTTGGAAGCTTCATGGAAGAACCTGGGGGAATGATCCAGGTCACCGCATCTCTTATGGTCCGCCAGGGACAGCCTGTATGTCCCCTAATGCCCTTCATAGCCAACCATTTCCATCAAGCTGTTTTCCTTTCCTCGGTTATGGTGGTGCTGTAAACCCGTCCCAGGCCCCCGCTTCACCTTCTGCTTACAATTCTAGTTATCCCAAGCAGACTCCTCTCTTTCTTTGTCTGCACAGGGGGGATCGTACTCAATCCTTCCTTCTACGGCATAGCAGGTCACACCCATACAATGATCCACGAGATAGGGCACAGCCTTGGTCTCTACCACGTCTTCAAGGGCGTCTCCGAGATCTTCTCCTGCAGCGATTCCTGTATGGAAACAGAGCCTTCCTTTGAGACAGGAGACCTCTGCCCTGACACCAACCCAACTCCGACTCACAAGATCTGCGGTGATCCAGCCCCTGGCAGTGACATGTGTGGACTCCGTAGCTTCCAGAATACCCCGTTCAACAATTTTATGAGCTATGCAGGTATGTTGCTTCCCCCTGCTCCAGCTGAAATAGTTTGCTTCTACACCTCTTTTGAACCAAAATGTTGATTGCAAGCTTCAGAGTCCAACAGGACTCCTGTCCAGGCTTTATCTTTTTGGAATAATAACAAAAGGCCACATTCCATGTTCAGATCGATGCCAAACCATTTCTGCTCAGCACTTCCTAGAACAAAAGGAGCAGAAAGGTTGGATCAGGGGCTATGCTAATTGGATTACCAGCCAGAGAAATCTGGTTTTATCAGTTCCCAGAAGCAGAGCGATGAGGAAATTAGCAACAATAACAGCAAAACAGATTTGATGAGCCATTGGCAGATTTTTCTAGAGCTGAGCCAACCTTTCTCCAAAGCCATTTTTCCCATGAAATTATTTTGCATTTCCCCCCTTCCTTCACCCTCCCCAGAAAGAGAGGGCTAATTTGCTGGATTTTCTCCAAAAATTCTCTACCATAGTGAACTGGTGGGTGCCATTTTCCCTTCCCCAAAAGGTGCTAGGTTTGGAGCATGGCGGAGAATACAAAATGGTGGCCAGGCGGTCAGCACAATTGCTGCCATTTGCACCAACAGTGATGACCACCACAGAGTGGTCCCTTCGGAAAGAAAAACTGCAGCATAATCCCTGCTAACCACCAGTGCCAACCTCAAGCAACAGTTGGAGGATTTACGCTCGCCGCCAAAATCCTCTGCCCACGAGCAGGGTGGAGAAATCTGGGAGATGCTTTGCACACACAATTTTTCCGTCTTCAGTACCATCCAGATGGCAACTGGGAGATGTGGAATGTGCAAAACAAGAGTTGAAGGTCAGTGTGAAAAGCTGGCGATGTCCTGAAGGACAAGATGGGGACATTTAGCTTGTCCAAGGGCCGGTTTCCTGCCGGACCACCCTAAGGGAGGCCTCCCTCCCCTGGGCCCTTGGGAAGTCAGGAAGCCCAAGAAGTAAGATCAGTGGTTTAATTGCTGGGAGCTTTAGGGCAGTTGTGAGAAGCCACGTGTGGGCCATTGGAAGCCACCCTTGCTCTAGCTGTTTTCGGAGCAGTCTGTCTGCTTTGCCAGTGCTTTCACCATGTTCAGTACAAGGACGCTTTCTATCTTTCTGCGAGTGCTGAAGAAAAGCCAGCAATTTCAATCAGGGAAAAGCCAACTGTGAAGGTCACCTGTTGGCCATTGGCCAGAGCATTGCTCACCCACATCCCCAGCCCCATCTTTGGAGTAATTTTGCCATAGAGTTCCTTCCTCCTCCATGTTGAAGGCTCAGATTGTTGTGGGGATGCATGGAATGCTTCGTGATGCCCCCTGATTCCCTTTAATTTAGCCAGAACTCAAGGGAAGGGGCAGTTCCCAAGGATTCTCTGACTGCCAGTGCCAACGGGAGCATCCGTGCCTCTCAGTCACCACTCTCCACCCTCCAGCCCATATGTGAGTGAAAGTCAGGAAGTCAGGAAACCCGAGTCCTGAGACGTTAGCTTGGACCTGCTCTTGCCTGTACCTTCATGTCAGGGCACCAGAGACTCTGGGAAGGCTGCAGGGCGTCCCTTTCCCATGAAGTAACTCTTCTCCCTCTCCTCTCTCTCTCCCCCTTGAATTCGGTTCGGGACGGGCGGCTTCCCCCACCCTCATCCCAGACGACGACTGCACCAACGCCTTCACACCGAACCAGGTGGCCAGGATGCACTGCTACTTGGACCTGGTGTACCAGAGCTGGCAGACGGTCAAGAATCCCGCTCCCATTGCCATCGCGCCGCAGATCGTGGACCAGACGGACACCTCCGTCACCCTGGAGTGGTTTCCTCCCATCGACCGGCACTTCTTTGAAAGGTGAAAGGGGAGGAGGGATGTGCTCGAGTGTCTCTGGCTTTGCACGATGGGACGGGCAGGTGAACATGAGTCCCCCCAGTTTGGTTTAGCAGTGTTTCCCCACCATTGCGGGCACCAGCACCCATACCTCGCCCGTCGTCCATCTTTCTCTTTCTGTCTCGCTTTCTGAAAAGGGGAAATTAAGTTCTTGCAATATGCCTTCAATTTATATTTCATAAAGCAGTTATTGTATGTTAAATAAATTCCATCTGCCTATTAAAAACATACTGATACAAGGTTAATTGTTATGTAACCAAATACGTCTCTCTGACATACTTCTTCGACCTCAATCAGTATGTTTTTAATAATCTATGGCTAGTTGGTACTTAAATGACACACAATGCTTGGCCTGTTCAATCTAGGATTTCATAACAGTTATCATACCTTAAGTCAACACTCCATTTCTTTTGCAAACCCTTCCATTGGGGTTTCCAATAGTGTGGAGCCGGCATAACTTGAAGATATCTATGGAGACATTGTCCAGTAGTTATGTCATAGTTTTCTTAGTTTCCCAATCCTAGGATAAATAAATTGTACGGTGACTCTTTCAAGGGCAGAAAGAGGGGATTGCTCAGCTTATTTTTCAATTCATAATTGATCTGTTGTCAGTTCCTGCAAGTTTATGGCCAATCTAAGATAATGACTAATACCATTTAAAACCTTGGATTATGGAGCTCTGTAATTGAGAAGTTATCGGCATCTGCCATTGATGGGAAGCTTAGGATGGCTGGAGGAACTGGATCTTTGTACATTCTAATACAGTCCAACCTCATTTGTGCCTCTTAAGCTAATGTGTGGACCTAGTGACCCACCAGAGCTTTGCAGTTCCCAGCTTGCTGCTCAGAATGTGTATCAAAATACAGTTCTCAATGCATATTTTGTGAGAAAAGTTGCTGTGGAAAACAGATGCTTAAATGTTCCAAAAGGTCATCAAAACCATTCAGGCTTTGGAGATCTCCAGATGTCTTCATCATGAATGGTGGGGGGGGGGCGGGTGGACGATGGGGGGATGTGGTGGGGAGAAGGCATCTTCTCTGATGCTGAAGGCACGCTGTCTGCATGATGACAATCTCACAGTGCAATGTCTGAATTGGAGCTTGCAGACATTCAGATAGGGTGGAAAGCTCGTAACCATCCAGCTGTTTGGGCCTGCAGCTTTCACCATCCCTCACCACCAGCTTTGCTAGCTCAGGTTGATCTCAATATGATCTAGGTTTTCTACCTGGAACTACCCTTAAGAAGGATCTCTCTCTCTCTCTCTCTCTCTCTCTCTCTCTCTCTCTCTCTCTCTCTGTGTGTGTGTGTGTGTGTGTGTGTGTGTGGAGGGGTGGGGCAAGAGAGAGTTAAAAGCAATAGTAGTTTAGTGTAAAATGGAATACACTTATCGGGGAACCCATGCAAAGATTATCCAGATTGGGAACAGCCAGGTGTCCATCAACCATGGGAGCCAGGAACTGAACTGGGGTTAGGGCTGCCATAGAGGCGGGAAGATCAAGGAAGGACTGGAATGAGCAAGACTAGAACTTGGACAACCCTTCATTGTAAGGTTTATCATTACCACTTGCTCAGTGTCCCAACCTAAAGGGAGAACTGCCCTTAGGAGAACCAGAGGCCGGCTTGGGTGGATGGAGCTGTTTCAGTACTGGGAAAGCTCTGTTGACCAGAACGATGCTTCTCATTGCAACTCTTCTGGGATACTAGAAGCTGGTCAATCAATCCCCATTTGTACAGGTGTTGATTGACCAAAACTGAATACTTTAAGGAAACATGGCTCTATCACTTACCTACGTCTTTGGTGTATACCTCTCCAAACATCTAGGAGAAAAATGTGACCCTAGTTTCTTTATCTACCACATGGGCAGTGGTCAGGGGCAATGACTGGTGTGGTCCAAAACATCTGAAGGACATCAGGTGAGGCAGTCTTTGCCAGAGTGGAGGCATGGGATAGTCTCACTCCCATGGAGAGACTAGGAAGAACAACATTACTGGCAGGAATATACCAAGCTGTCAGATACGAATGTTGTGACGGGCAAAACAGGGTCACTAGAGGTGGGGAAGCCCTGTCAACTCAACCCTGCCAAGCCAACACACCTCTGTCTTCATGTGTCACAACCTCACCTTGGAAGACAGCCTCTCATGCTACCTAGGAAGGTCACTCTTCCCACAGCTCTTGCTGCTCAGGGCTGCTGTTGCACAGACTCAGGGCATGCCGTGATGCCTGGAAGACAGGCTCCGTTCCAAGAAACACAGAGACCCTACCACACAAGCCGTAATGACGGGAGAATGGAAGCAGAGGGCAAGCAGAGAGGGAGCGAGAAAGACCTGCTCATTTCCTGGCTGCATCAAAGCACTGTTTTTAATCTTGTCATCCCCAGCCATTGCACACTTGGTATGCAGCAGGCTGAAGCAGGGAGATATTGTGGAAGGAGCGGTCGCAGAGCCCCAGTTGGACAAGGATGGCCTGGACCCATCTCGCCACCAGCTCCACATCAGGCAGGCAGCAGTCATTTCCGCCGCTCCGTCGATTGTTATCTCTTTCTTTCTATCGCAACAGCGAGGATTCGCACAGTACAACTTTCTTGCCTGAGGAGCTGATTGGCAAGCGTTGGGGCCAGTGCTTTGGCTGTCCAGTTTTAGTTTCCCTTGCAGATTTTCATATCTCTAGGGTGCAGGGATGGAATTTGGGAATTCCAAGTAGCAAGAGCCTCATGTTCCCTCTTCTTTTGAAGTTGAGCTCAGACATGTCCAAGGTCGGAGGGGAAGGCAATTCCCTGAGTGAGCACAGAGCAGACTTTGGAAAGGGCAGGCTTTTCAGCTCCGTGCATGATGGAACCAATGTTTGTTTTGCAGTTCTTTAAAATATGCCCAGATGGTGATGGTTTAACCCTTCCACGCTTGAAGAAAGGAAAGGAAAGGAAAGGAAAGGAAAGGTCATCCTCCTTTTTTTTTTTTTTTTGAGTTTTGGCTCGGATAGTCTCTAATAAAGTAGCAGGTGTGTGTGTTCGTGCGCACGTGTGTATTTGTTTGAAGAAACAGAAACAAAAGGCATTGGTGGCAAAGACGTAGGAACCGTTGCAACTCAATGCTGAAAATGGTTTGCAATCCCTGCTTACAGTTCCATTCTGGTTAATGTTACTCAGCAGAGCTCCTGATCATACACACATAACACGATGGCTCGAGCAAACGGATGGCAGATCTGCCCATGAGAAGGAGAGCAAAGAGACTCTATCGCTGCCCTGTTGGGAATGGTATATCTGTGTCTGGTCAGCAAAGTAGATAGCAGTTCTGGGAAGGAGAGATGGAGAGAGAGAGAGTGCGCGCGCACGAATATGTTTGCACAGTTTTCCATAGTGGGGATCCCTCCCCCAAAAGCAGCCTTGGTTATTTTTCGGTCGTATGTTGAAATACGCAGGAATTGATTTTGCGGGCAATTAGCTGGAAGGGCAAAGGGCATGTTTCCTCTTTCCCACCTCCCTCTCTGCAGTGCTGTAAAAGGAAAACGGAAAAGGAAAAGAAAGAGGTGTGTGTGTGGAATTCAACTTGCCATCTTGTCTCCTTTTATTCCACTGGATGAGCATGTCATTCAACTGTTACTAAGTTGGTGCATTTTCTTTCCTTTTTTTTAATTTCCTGCCTCCTAGAGAAGTGGGATCAGCGTGTGATCTCTGCATGGAAGGCCAAGTCCTAGCACAATATGCCTTCAGCGCCTCCTCGCCGATGCCGTGTGACCCGTCAGGTCACTGGAGTCCCCGAGGAGCAGAAGGTAAGCTTTGCCTTGGAGATGGGAAAAGGGGCCGGCGGTGGCTGGGAAAAGAGGCAAGCAAGGTGAGGAGAAAGATCACGGTCAATCAAATTTGTATTTGCAGTGGCAGACAGATATTCATATTATGAACAATGGACTGTAGATTCGCATGTAGCACAAATTTGCGAGGTGCATAATGCTTGGCTGAATTGTGAACGGAGTACCAGCTTTCCCACAAAGATGGAGGTGTTTTCCTAGTTCAGTTTAATCTCCTCTGATGCAGCCTTTGGATCAAAATCAGATGAGATCTGAAGTCGCTTGAACAGAGTGCCACTGAGATTAGGGATTTGCAACTCAGAGGAAAAAGGGCAGCGCACACAGAGAGAGTTCTCTAGAAGAACGAGAGAGGTGGGGGAAACTCACGATGGGTGAGCGGTGCTTCCCTTGCCACTCGTTAGTTCTGAGTTTGGTGCTGAGCCTAAAGCTCGGGGACTTCCTCCGCTTCGGCACTGCAAAGCGAAGGAACTTGCCACCAAATCGTCCCTTTCAGGCGGCCAGACCACATGAAGCAGCTCAGTTACACAGCTCCTGCTTTCCATGCAAGGGGAGCCTGGCTCCAATCCTGGCCACCAGCAGTGAAAAAGCGAGCGATGTGAAGCTCCTCCACTTGAGCTCATGGGAGGCACTGCCAGCCAGGGCAGGCAACACTGCCTGAATAGGGTGGCTTTCTGCCTTCAGTGTGCCTTGCAGCAATCAGCCAGGGTGGCCTTGATTTTAGGAGGAGTCCTTCATGCTGGGTCGGACAAGAGGTCCACCTCGTCCAGGACTCTGTACCCATGGGGGCAAACCGGCTGCGCACAGGATTCCTCAAGCAGGCTGGGTGCAGGCCAAACTCCTGCCCAAACTTCTCAACAAATGGGGTATGCAGCCATGCCAGCTCTGGTCAAGGAGAGGGCCTGTAGCCTGTAGGGCTAGTAGCCACAAATAGCCCACGCCTCGATGAGCCTGTCCGATCCCCCTCTAAAGCCAGCCAGGCTGGTGGCCATCACCGCTTCCCACGGCGGCAAATTTCATAGTTTCACTGTGTGAAGAAGTCCTTCCTTTGAACTGTCCTAAACCTCGGCTTCAGGGGATGACCCAGGGTTCATGTGCTACAGGAGAGGGAGAAAAGTCCCTCTCTACATTCTGCACATCAGGCATGTTTTCAACACCTCCATCCTGCCTCCCCTTGCTCTCCCTTTTTCTAAGGTAAACAGTCCCAGTTGTAGACACTGCTCACAGGGGATCTGCTCCAGCCCCTGTTTATTTGGGTTGCTCGGGCGCTCAAGCTAAGGACAAGGCTGGAGGCAAGCTAGCTGAGAGCCAGAGGGAGGAATGGGTGGGCTTCCGCTGGCAAGGGAAGGAAACTGAGCGAAAGCGGCACATCTGCCAGTTTTATATGCGTCAGGAACGCCTGATTGGATGTCTCGTGTCACCTGACTTTCCAAGCCGGAAGGATCCTCTCACCGGATGATTTGGTGGCTCAAGAATTTGGTGCCTGATCCCTTGAGGATCCCGCTCTTCCAGGGTCCCTATCCAAGCCCATGGGAATGTCTCTTAAGTTGGGGCGTTCAACCAGAACTGTTGACAGTGGGAGGCTTCTCCTGTTCCCACACCTTCTTCCTCTAAATGTGGAGGTTTGCCCAAGGCTCCTGGCCATCTTTCCCCCTGCTGTTACTTCCGCTCGCCTCTCCTTTAGCAACTTTCCCCTGCATGTTTGGGAAAAGAGAAGCAGAAACAATCAGAAACTGAGGATAGATAAGATGCACAGAGGGAAACTGAGACAGGTGGCCAGAGGTTCTTTTGGGTCATGTTTGCTTTATTTGGATTGAACTCAGAGCCACCTCTCCCCCTACACACTCACACACACACACCCTGAGGCAGCCCCAATCAATTGATCTGTATCCCAGTGCATGGGAGAGTCTGTCAAAAGCCAAGCCATGAATTGAGCCAAATTGCTGTAGTAAAGAGACGAAAACATGCTTCCTTGACCCCCAATGCAAATGCTGGCTTGCATGTTTCCTCCACTCAGTGCTGCCTCCTGTTTTGTTTTGTTTTGTTTTGTTTTGTTTTAAACCCACAGGAGCTGATCTAGCACTGCCAGGAAGAAAGCCGTGCTTAGATCTCCTGGATCAATATGATTTGCATTGTGGATGAGCAAAGAGGGTTGGGTGGAGGAGGAGGAAGATACCCGAGTCTAAATGAGAGGGGATCAATAAGGTTGTCTTTGTGAATCAAGACAGGGCTGCTGATGGGAAGTGCTTGTTTACAGCAACCCACAAAGGGGCTTGCAGGGTACTCTTCTGGCCTGAGGGTTTGCTTTTGCAAATTTCTTTCTGAGGAGCATCCGGCTTCCCTGATTATTCTTTGCTCTGGGCACTTAGGGCCAGTTTCTCTCTATGTGATTCTTTAACTCCTGCAAAAGTGAGGTGCACTTGCCAACAGGGTGAGCCTCCAGTCCTTATATAATTCCTCATTTTGGGATGCATCGTTCCTGAAGCGGGTGGGAACCAACCAGCTGCTCAAAGCTTTCCTGGACCAGGGAAATGGACTGTTTGACTAGGACCGATGCTAGTAAGCCAGCATACGAACTCAGACATATTCTTCAGCCACTAAAAGGAGGAGGGATTGGACAGGGCGTTAAATCACACCTGTCATTGGCAGGCAATAGGAAATGTCTGGATTGCATAAATGGTATAAAGTGAATACAAGCTCAGAGGCTGGCCTTTCGTTCTTGCCTGGTCGATAGATCAGTAGACCTGAGTGACTCTTGGGACTGAAGAGCTGGATAATCCATCCTAACATAAGAGGAGCTCTGCTGGATCAGACGGAATTTGTCTAGTTTAGCATCCCGACCCCCAGAGTAACCAATCAGATTCTTCCAAGAAGCCTACAAACGGGGCAGAAGAAGGGCAGCAGCGTCGCTTTACTTTTTCACCCCTGCTGACTGCTACGCAGCGGAAAGCTCTCTCTGAGGTTCCACAGAGCTCCCCCCCCACATCTAACTAGGGCACAGACATCTCCCCTTCATGGATTTATCCAAGTCCTTGCCTAGTGACCTAAGCGAACAGCTGTCACCCCATCTTGTGACAGTGCATTCCATAAATCAAGTATCTGTTGTCTAAAGAACAGTGAACGGCCAAGGTCTGGATTTACTTGCAGCTAGGACTCAGCCAGTAGGAGGTTTTCTGGTCCAGCTCAGTTCCTCAGATGTTCCTCCAGAAATCCAGCCTGTCCCATGATGCAAAGAGTTCCATGGATGCACTTCTGGACATACTTTCTCGGAACAGCTTCGTGCTTACGCATATGTGGATAGAGTGTGAGCTGCAGGTGCCACTTGGGAACTGTGGAAGCAGGTGCATTATGAAGACCTGATTAACGTGTTAGCCTGGGAGGTGCGATGCGAGGATTTTGAAGGCACTGTTTAGTGAGATTCTTCAGCAGTGGTTATGTGGCATTTGTCTCCATCCTGGCACAGAAGTCATCAGATATTGTCTTGGTAGAAACCAGTCCCCAGCATAGTTTTCACCAACACAGAAAATGGTTTTTCAAATAGGAGGTGGGTAAGGAGATTTCCCAGCTCATTTTTATAAGAATTTGTCAAAACTTGCAAATTTTAATATTTTAATGATGCAGCCAGTGTGTTTCCACATTTTAATTGTAATTGTACTATTTGTCATTTTTGTGAGCTGTCCCAAGGCTATGCAGCAGGGGAATGACATATAAAAACTTTTACTAAAATAAATAAATAAATAACTTCATCAACGGGAGAGGAAAAATGTGATAAAAAATAATAATGAGGATGGAAGCAAAATTGACAGATTTCTCCAAGCCTAGGTTTGAACAGATGATATAACTATTTTGACAAATGTCTGCAGAGATTTGGAAAAGATGAGCTTTGGCATGGATCTGAAAACTCAATGATCTTTTGAGTCCAACGCTGAACCCAAACCACTGCTGAATTTTTTATTATGTTTGAGAATTCAGCACGAACCTGGCCTAATGCTGTGTGATAGACTTGCAGAAGCCCTTTTCAATATTGTTTGCCAATTGTTTTATTTTAAACAGAGAAGTTAAACTGTTTTCTTGTAAGAGGTGCAATTTTACCTTCAAGTGGCCAAGAAAATCCTTTGGGTCCCAATCATCCATTTCTTTTTCCCTCCTCCAAGCACTCACTCCTGCCCCTTCCTTGATTTTGGGATTCTTGGCCTCACACCAAGGTTATTAGCACGGATGTGTATGCTTTCAGTCTAAAAAACAAAACAAAACAACACTTTGGACATGGGCGTTCCTTCCAGTAAACTCACTGGCTGGAATATTTGGAGAAGGTGAATGTGGAAAAAAAGACAATAGATGGAAGAGAGGAAAGTACACTGTGGCCGGGGGGTGGGGGAGCGGTGGAGGGAACCCCAGCAAGCCAGTTCTGTCCCTTTCCCAAATCAGCAGAGCCAGAGGTATAGCTGCCAAGAACATGCAGCAAAAAATGCAGACATGCTTTTGAGCTGTGATGCCTTTTAATTTCACGTTTGTGCTAATTGCTTCAATTTACTTGTCCCTCCACATTGCCAAAGACCATCGCTGATATGCTGCACTCATGCTCTCTGTCCTGGGCAGAATTTACAGCCCAGATAGTGTCTTTTTTTTGGGGGGGGGGCACCATGGAATGGTGGCATCCCGTTCTTGACAATCCCTTCCTAGAGATGTTTGACTTCGTATGATTTAGGGCAGGGCCACGGGTGGTGTCATCACGGTTGTCAATAATGATTACATTGCGTTGCGTTTATATCTCGCCTCTATTTCCCTCTTGTGAGGAACCCCAAGTGGCTTACATAGCTCCGTGGTATCCCAACAACAACAACCCTGTGAGGTAGGTTGGGCTGAGAGCCAGTGACTGGCCCAAAGTCATCCAGTTGGCTCCATGGCTGAGCGGGGACTCGAACCCGGATCTCCCAGGTCCTCAGACCAACACTCTGCACTGCCTCTTCCATAGTACATTGGCTGTTGAAAAATGTAGGGGCTTGGTAGGCCATCAGAAATGGCTTGCCCAGTCGCATGAGCCCCATAAGGAGACCCATTTTGCACCCCTGGTTTAGGGGGTGTTTTTATTAGGGCCGCTGCTCATTTGGGAACCTTTAACTCTGCTGCTCTGGCTGGGATTGATCCGTGGATGAACACATGTGAAAGGGTCGAGACCAAAAACAGATTCGTTCATTGATTAGCACCAGCAGAATGCTAGCAAGCCATGCTCCAAAAAAGGAGGGGTTTACTGGGGATAGGGCTCAGAGAACAGGGAATGTCCATGTTGAATCAGGACAACTGGTGTGACTCTCGCCTTGCCATGTATATTTAATTGGCCTTTGGGTAAGGATGGATTGGTAGGGTTGGATAGAGCAGTCTGGATCAGATTTACAAGTTCATGTTTCTGCATTGCCCATTTTCTGTATCCATTTGCAAAGAAAGAAAGAAAGAAAGAAAGAAAGAAAGAAAGAAAGAAAGAAAGAAAGAAGGACATTGCAACGAAATGCATGCTTTTTGCTATTCAAACTACCTTGGCACACCCATTTCCCTTTAGCACACACATTTTTGTATGCAGCCTCTGAGCTGAGGATGCAATTGCATAGTTTGAAGAACTGTACCTGCCAAAGGATGAGGGAGTCCCAGCCTGCAGAGGGATCTGGGCAATTTGAGTTAGGTTCAGTCCCTTTCAAAATGCAGGCCAAATTCAGTTTGGTTCGGCTTGGCTCGGCTCGTCTTGGCTCAGTTCGGTTCAGTTCTCCACTATGCCTGCCTACCGGTCATTCTTGTTGCCACCTCCCGCTTCGAAACTCCCTTGACGAATGTTGCTTCCAGAAGCTTTGCAAGCAGAAAAGCCGGATGTGAGCTTTTACCTTTTATCAAAACAAAATTCAGGCTTCCACAGTTCAAGCTGGTGTGTCTCGAACAAGAGCAAAAGCCACAAGCAAAGTCCTGGCATCAATTATCCAATCCCAGCTCAGTCTCCTAGGAGGGTTCCCACAGGAGACCCATCTTGTCTTCATATGTTTTTAGGGATGCCAGCTTAAGGTGGTAGAAGTTGGTTGAAGAAGAGACCTTTGGATGCAATCGGCAGGAAATGAAGGCTTTGTCTCCAATGCAGATTGGAAAGATTCAATGTTGCGCCCATCGCTCTGTGGTCTAGCTTTCTCTTCCTTACCCATGCTTTGCACAAAGAGCAAACGCTCTTCCTTACCTTGGTTTCTTCCTCTGTTACCTTTGGTCGCATTGTCCCATTCCATTTGTTTCCTTGTTAGGTTGTCTCAATCAGCCGGCTTGTTTTCGGTTGTCTTGCTTTCAGTTGTTCGGTTGTCTTGTTTTCTTGTTTTTCCCACAATCAGGTGCCTTCTGGATCGCACCACACAGCCCATTTCCTCAACCACCCTGGCCCTCCTTGTTGTGGATGATGGGACATTTAGTCCAACATATCTGAAGGGTACTGGGTTTGGGGAGCCTGACTTGCGGGGAGCAACCAGAGAATGCAGAAGTGAATGATAGCAGTGCATTATAAATTCATGTATGGTTATGATCAGAGCTCTTCTCCCAAACCTGGGCTCATCCAATGATTGGATGGGCAGTAAATTCAGGGTGGTACCAAAGAAACACACTAGTTATGGGTAAGATATGGAATGGACTCCCACACAATCATATAGAAGTCTGAAAGCAAAATAGAATGCACCAAGGGTAAACATGGCCAATTTTGCAGTTAAAAGCATGCTAATGAAATGATTCTTTAAAAAATTCTGATGCACCGCAGAGCCCTGATGCTCCAATTTTGCAAATCTGTGCATCCTTCTTTTCAAGCTGCTTGTGCTTTTTTCCATATTCAAGGTCACCCTGATGTGGAACAACCATGCAAACCTGATGTCAGAACATGGAGTCCCAATTCAGTGGTCATCAAGCAAACTGTCCCACCAGCCTGCCCTGAACCCCAGGGCTGCTACCTGGAGCTGGAGTTTCAGTACCCGGTGATACCAGAAGCGCTGACCATCTGGGTGACCTACGTATCTCCTGAATGGGATTCCAAAGAGGCTATAAATGACATTAAGCTCTTAATGGTCAGTGGGCAGAACATCTCTCTTGGGCCACAGAACTTCTTCTGTGACATCCCCATGACCATCAGGATGGACGCAAAGAAGGTGAACAAGGAAGTCCTTGGCATCCAAATCTACACCTTGGATGAATTCCTAGAAATCGATGCAGCCATGATAAGCTCTGTCCCAGAGAGCGAACAGTGTGCCAGCTGTCAGCCCATCAAGTACAAAGTAGGCCGGGAGCCTCCTTTTCAGAAGGACTCTTCCGTCATCATCACTGACCTCAGCCGGAAATTTGTGGACACGTAAGTATTGAAAGCCAAAGTGCCGGGAAAAATGTTGTGTCTATTGCCCGAGGCTCTGATTTGACAGCTGTAGAAGAAGTCTGCATTGTTCTGACAGAAGTTGATGCCGCATCTATTTACTTCATTTAGAGACTTGTAAAAGTATGAATCGCCTTCTGGCCCAAACCTGGCCCTTAGGGGGATTTACAAGGAAAGCCATAGGATGGTTTGTTGTTAGGATGTGCCATCAAGTCATCTCCAACTTCTGGTGACCAGAAGTTTTCTTTCATTTTCTTTCATTCTGGTGAATGAAAGCCCATATAAAGTACTGTCCAGAACAGCCCTGCTCAACTCTTCCAGATTCAAGTGTGTGGTGTCCTTAATGGAGTAAATCCATTTCATATTTGGTCTCCCTTTTCTTTTCTGCCTTGGACTTTCTCTGAAACGATTGTCTTCTCCAGAAGGTTTTGCCTTCTCATGATGCGTCCAGAGTTGGACAGCCTCAGTTTTGTTATTTTTTGCTTCTAGGGACAACTCCAGCTTGATTTGATCTAGAACCCATGTGCTTGTCTTCCTGTTTATTTATCTAGGGTATTTACAAAGCTCTCCTCCAGCATTACACCAGACTGTAGAACTTGGAGTAATCAATTCAAGTTGCAACAACCCAGATTCAGACTAGATACCAGGAAAAGTTTCCGTACTGTCAGAACAATACAACAGTGGAACCAGTTGCCTGGAGAGCTTGTGGGCTCTCCTGCACTAGAGGCATTCAAGGCAAACCTGGATAGCCCTCTGAGTGGGATGCTGTAATGTGGTGTCCTTCAACAGCTGGAGGTCGTACCCAATGGCCTTCCTGCCCCCTTCCAACTCTACTATTCTGTGATTCTATGACCATGTTTCACATGCATCCGATTTTTCATGTCCGTGATCTTCACTGTCCAGTCTTCACATCCATATATAGCGATTGGGAATATGATGGAGTGAATGATCGTGTTCTTGCTCTCCAGTGAAACATCCTTACATTTCACCAACATTTATACTTTCTTCATTGCTGCCCTTCCAAGAGTCTTGATCCTCTCTGAATGTCTTGGCTGGAGCCTCCTTTTGAACTGATGCCTGAACCAAGGTATGCAGGTATTAAGGGCACCTGCAACAAAATGAATTTGCCCCAATTCATTGTCCGAGTCAACCATGTCCTTTTCCAAGATCCACCATTCCACAATTTTTTTATCCTTCTCTCTCTCCATAGTAACAGCCAGCAGGAATTCTGTCCCCACTCAGCTTGCTCAGTGGGCACTTCTGTGCCTCCCTCTCCCTAGAGATTTTTTTTTTCCTGAGAATATCTGTCCTCGTGCCCCCCTCTTGGGAACAGAAGGGGCTGTTTTGTCTACACACAGAGAACAGAATTGATGGTGAGGACTGTGACAATCACTATGAGCTTGCAGCATGCTGTGATTCACCAGAGGAAATGCAGTTAAGGCAGGCAGCCCCCTGGGGGACCAATTCACAGAAGCAATAGGATTCTCCATCAGACAGGAACAGATGTGGCTTCACTCATCCCAGGACTTCAGGCCCATCCAGCGAAGAGGCTGCACCTGGAACACTCTGTGGTCGTGTTCTTTGCCACCCTCACATTACCTGGAAGCTACTCTCAAGAGCTCCACGTCTGATTGGTGCAGAGGAATAGGGGGATCGGAGGTTTCATGGGCTCCCCTTCAGTGCAACTGCTCTGGGCTTGAATCTGTTGTGCAATTGAGCAGCTTAGAGGACAGAGCGATGCCATTTGGCGTAATGCCAGTTAAGGCTCCCCGCCCCCAAAACTTTTGCTCCAGCCTGGTTTGAAACTTGAGCAGCTGATCCGAGATAAAAGCTGAAAATGCTGGGAGATCATGTCCTGGGATCTGCCATCTCTTGTTAAACTCTGCATGAGTGCCGACGTGCCTAGCTTTCTTCATGACCTCACTTTTTCATAGCCTTGCAACCTGCACATGGGGCCGAGAGGTAGGTCTGGAAAAGGGAATTCTTGAAAAAAGCAGGATGCCTCTATGTATCTGCAGAGGGCCATCCTCCCAACCCCTAATACTTCATCCAGATTTTGGACATTGGAGGAAGTGCTTCCCAGCACAGCCTGCTTTCTCCAAGGCCCCCATCCTGACCACGTGGGACCTCCCTGAGATCTTCCAGGGAGTAGTAGCTAAGGATGGATGCCCAATTCCTTCTGTGGGCCCTTCAGTCAACACCCTGGCTGTGTGAAGTAGGGGTCGCAGCCAAGTTCTAGACCTGCAGCACTCTTGGAAGCTACCTCAACAGCAGCCAAGACCACCTCCTGCTGATATGCGTTTGGCTCTGGGTCGCATCATGTAGGCATGAGATACCATGACTTCCCCTTGCACTTTCCGTCTAATCTCCAGCCTTGGTTGAAGGCACTTCATGGCTGAAGCCCATAACTGCAATGGTCCGCCATGAGGGTTCAGGGTTCCTTCCCATTCCTCCATCTCCAGAATGCTTCTTCATAGTTTTCTGAAGCCCTGCTGGCCAGGAAGGAAGGAAGGAAGGAAGGAAGGAAGGAAGGAAGGAAGGAAGGAAAACAGTGTACACTGCAGTTAAATGTGACAGAGAGCTCTGGGTAGATCGGTGCACTGTGATTTTCCTCATCAGAGCATCGAAAGCCACCCCATATGAAGGCAGACCACCAGGGCCTCCGGCCCAGCTTTTGCTGCTTCCTGGAATGAAGCCTCATATTCTTTCGTAGGGAATTATTTCTCTGCAGTGTTCTGCCTGAGACCACATTTAGAACCTGGAGCAAATTCTAGGCCACCTGAAAATCTCCAAGAATTTTTAAAAATAGAATTCTCTTAGCTTGACTGAAGACGCATCACAGGCAGGCATGACTCAGCAGAGAAACTTTCCTTCCTGGAACTTGGCAATTATTTTTTAATCAAACAAAAATACTGCCAAGTGTAATTAATGCATACGTTACTTGTTTGGCCGTGTTGTTAGCATGTCCATCTGCGTGCTGCTCCATCCCACCCTGACATTTAGCTAGCTGTCAGGCCTAGCTCGTTTCTGAATCTGAACCGGCCCGTTCATCCCTGCTATACAATGAATTCTACAGCAGAAAGCAATAAGTTGGCCCACCGGTTTGCTGTGGTTTATTTAATGAGGCCAGTTACAAATTTGATGGTCATAGAGGAAATGGGTTCACTGTAGGGTTTTTTAGTGGAGTGGGGAGAAAGCCAGTGGAAATCGGTTCTGCCTGCCTTTTTTAATGCATTGCTGAACTGCTAGAGACACATCTCCAGTTTCCTAGTTCACAGTGGTGTTTGAAATTGCTCTGACTTACTCCAGGTGCAATAGCCAAACATGAGCCAAGTCAGAAGGAGCTGCTTGCCCAGAAAAAGTCCATTAAGGGGACAGTGCCAGCAACTGCTGGGTCATGGCTTGCAGTGGAAAGTCGCCCCTGCTCTTAAGGGCATGCTTGGCTACCAAAGAGCAGCTTTTGGCATTCTACCAGACCCACCGCTGCCCTTGCCCTTGAGAGCCAGGGTCAGTGGGGAGAACTCACGATCAAGACAGAGCTCGGATGGGGTGCAGAAGGGTTATGGGGCAGACCTCCGGGTCTGCAGTTGAAGGCCTCTGCACCAAGCCCCAGACGTCTCCTTCCAAAATGGTTTCTTAAGGGTTGAGGTCCTGACCACAGTCCGGAAGTGGTCAAGCTAGCTTGCATTCCTTGTGCACTCTCATCTTGAACGACAGCCTTTCAATGAGAAGAACGAGGTAGAAGGTTCCTTGTGTGGATTTTATGCCTGTCTCTCTGGACTCATCTAAACAGAGTGAGACCTGGCAGCAGACCAAATAACAGGCCAGTGCCGAGAGGTCCGAGTTTTGATGTCATTCTTTCACTTCTGCCCCCTGCTGCTGAGGTGAATCCAGATGCCCACAGCTTAAGTGTCAGTACATAGGAGGATCCACATCTTTAGCATCTCTTGAAAAGAAGAAGAAGATGCAAGGAACTGGGGTGAAAACATGCATCCCTGAGTCTCTGTGTACTTCATCCACAGCTAGGTAAGAAGCAGGAATAGCAAGGGCAGGAAAATCAGGCAGTTTCTCATCTCAGTACCCTAGAATGACCTTCTCTGCAGGTGGTGCAGGAAGAGGTGGTCACTGCGGCTGGCTTGTGGCACGGTTGTGAGGGATCAAGGAAGATCCAGTCTGGAATTCCACATTTGCTACGTTATCCTTCTAGCCAAGGAGCATTCGCTGTGGAAGTGTTTTCCTGTACATATCACCTCATAGTGAAGGATGCTTTCTGCTTCCAGAACAGCACATTGACCGATGCACAATAATACTTTGGTTGAGATACATTCATGTGTTCCTTATATTTATGTGTGGCCCTAGTCCCTCCAAAGATCCCAGGAAAACCTCCCTAATCCTTCACCTTCTCCCCTCCATCTCATCCTCACAACACCCTGTGAGCTGGGCAAGGCCAAGCATCCAGGACTGCCCCAAAATCAGCCAGGGAGCTTCATGGCCGGGAGTGGACTCAAACCCAGACCTCCCAGCTCCCCAGTCCAAAACTCTAACCACTAGGGCACATTGGTACTTAAGTGGACTGTGCTCTCCATAGGAAGGCTCTGACCATGGAACTCTTGGTCTGTCTAAGTCCCTGCATGAGAATGGTGCTTCTGTTTCCAATCCGGAATGTGAATGTGAGCAGGAAGGCAGTCCTGGTGAAATGCGCACTATTTCCAAAACCTGCTTTCATGTCAATGGTGCACAGGTGTGCATTTCCACAGGTGTGCATTTCCTCGCATGTCCAATGGCACAAACCCCCTGAAAGCTTTAGCCTCTGTGCGGGAAGTTGGAATGTGGGATGAGAGAAGTGCTCCCATGTTCCTGCTTGCATCTGCACGTGCTCCCTCTTCCACCCCCTGCCCCCAAATGCACACATTCAGAAGTGCAAACAAGATTGTTTGCATTCCAAGGAAAAACTTGGAGAAGCTTAATGGGCTTGACTGGTTTACCCGTCTCCACAGTGGATGGGCAGAGGATGGGGAGGGATTTTGCGGCGTTTGCAACCTCTTGTTTCTCCAGTTGTCTCCCTGAACCGGTCTAGCAAACCTACCTTGTTCAAAGGGTGTTCAAGGATAGGCTGGACATGCACATGGCGGGCATGTCGTGAGCGGAGCCGGCTGGTGCCGGAGGTCAGACTAGATGGCCTGGTGTATCTGTTTCTATGTTACCTTCAAGCAGGTGAGACACATGACCAAGGCTTGTGAATCCAGGAAATCCATCTGCCCCTTCATCCCCATCCATTCGTATGCCCTCTTTCTCCCTTCTCCATCCTCTTCCAGCTGTCTCCTGGAGGAGGAGTCATCACATGCCAGTTGTCATCCCAATGCAGGAGCATCTATACTTGGGTTTCTGAGTTGAAGGACCACAGCTTTGAGGACACATCCGATCTGTGGGTCCATCAGGGGAGTAGACATTGGATCCAGTAAATCCTTCCTAGGATGTCCCAATTTGGGGTCTACTGCTGGCAGATACACCTCACTGGAGAGGTCATCCTTTCTTGCTGAAGATTCATAAGTGCAGAGTGGAGCATCTTGGCAGTGTAGTGGCTTGTGGTCCAGCTGTCCCACCCTAACACGCCTCCCAGCTGGGGCTCGAGGAGACCTCACTGGCTTGGGCAGTATTTCATTTCATCTTGTCCTGCTTTTTGACCTATGGACCTGCAAAGCAGTTCACCACATGCAGTGCAAAATTAAACGGCAGTAAAACTATCAGTGGGATTTAAAAGCAGGAGATAATAGTGAGTAGAGAACGGCCAGATTATTTTGGTCATCTCTTAAAAAGGTAAGCAGAATAAATCTGGTGAGTTTGCTGGGGAAGGGATGGGCAAGCCAGAGAGTTTAGGTTCACACCAAACAAAGGATTAATCTATTCTAGGTGAAAAGGTGCTGTGGTCACCAGCTTTATAAGTAGTCTTTCTGCAGATCTGGTTGCTTTGTTTGGCTATCAAGATGCAATTCTATCCAAGTTGGTTTGGGAATGCTGTAAAACACACTTCTCTCTTCTGCCTAACCATGTCTGGGTTTTGCACCCTTCAAGTGGAACTAGAACTGTATCTTAACACATTTTTAACCTCATCGTTGGGGTGCGTAGCATGGCTGAGACAGAATTTTAATTGTTCCAGAAAGGTTAAGGGGGTTGGGTCATGCGGAATGATTAGATGATGGAAACCTATTGATGGAGTTATGCCAGGAATTCTGACTGGAAAGAGGCAAGAAGGATAGGGAAAAGGATAAGGCTGAGGACGGTGCAAAAGAGAGTTTGGAGGTGCCTGGACTCAAAAAAGGGAGAGGAATGGACAGGAAGCCGCCATGAATGGTTGTTCTAAATGAATGTTTTATTGGGCAATAGATGGTATGTATATAGTGTTAGAGCTTTTCTGTTCATATTTATGTCTAGAAGCAGAATCAGCCTTTTACAAGATAAGTCTCCAGAATGAGGTGGGCATGGGGGGGGGGTATGCATCTTACTTTCTCACCTCAGTCCTTTCCCTGTGGGGAGACCAATCAGCAGAATCCTGTCCTTAGATACCACCACACTTCCAGCCAGGTCAGGTGCTGGAGCTGCTGCAGCTTGTGGGGAACTATTGGCAGAATGCCTTGCCTGGGTCAACGGTGTTTCCCCTGATGTCCCTTTAAGCAAAGGAACAAATGCGAAATGCATGTCGAATGGACAGGGCAGCACTTCCCATGGTGTCCAGAGATGGGGGAAAGAGGGCTTTTGCAGAGGACTGTTCTATAATCCCAGGGATGACCCAAGTGTTCCTTTCCTTCTACCCGTCAAGGGCTGGTGGAGATGCTTTTCCACGAGTCAGAATTCTGCTCACTGTGCTGAAATTTGAACCTGCTCTGCAGTTTATCACCTGGCTCATGTCTCCTTCCTTGCATTGCAGTGAGGTTACAGCTGATAGCTTATACACCTACTGGGTTTCCATCATTTCTGGGACAGAAGAGAGTGAGGCATCCCCTCCGCTTACATACATCCATGGAAGGGGCTATTGTGGTGATGGGATTATCCAGAAGTAAGTGTGGATGCATCCGGCATGACCTTGTTTACTTCTTTGTTTACTTCTGAAGTTTGGATGCCACTGTGTAATTGAAAGTCCTCAGAGTTGGCTCACCCAAGAATGCAGATTAATAGGAAATTTAAAACAATGGGTATAATAATGAAAATCTAAACACCTACAATGCCTGTGCAAAGAAAAATGACTTTCCCAGGCATGGAAGAGGTATCGATGGGAGTGTCAGGCGACCCTCCTTGGAGAGGGTGTTCCATAAATGGGATGCCACAGCTGAGAAGGATTTTTGCTTATGGCTCCTGCTTAACTTCCTTTGGTAGCTGCTCCCGGAACAGGAGCTAAGTAAGAGTCTAAGCCTTCTAAACCCATCCCAGATTGTACCTAGCGACTCCCTTTTGGACCAGCAGACAACTCTGAACCAAAGGTAGCCCACAGAGAAGGTACTGCAGTTCGGCAACCAGAAGGCAGGGGGCCTATAGCCATAAGGGACTCACCCGCCCACTGGCCTACTGCACATTCTCCAAAGACCTGAAGATGAGTCCGAGCAAAGATGGGACTGCAAAACAGTTGACTAAAAGTTGCAGGCCCTCCATCAACTCTTGATTGGCCCACCAACGTACCCCAAGTTTAACACGTATATGATTTAAAGAATCAATAGTATTTGCGTTTGTGGCATTTTGAGTTCTGGATTTTAAATTGTACTGCATGCACATAATATATCCATTATGTGATAATTGATTATATAGTATTTGCACATGTCCACGGTACAGGGAAGCATTTCCGTTAGCTAGTTTCTTTTCTGTTCCCAGCATATATTTCCCTTTTTCCTTCACAAAAGAGTGGTAGAGAGAAGAAAGATTGTCCCCGTAATGCCTGGCGCCTGATGTTATGGAACCCTAGTGTTTCCTCACTCCTTTTTATGTGTTTTATTTTCAACATACGAGTGCCTTTTTTCGTTTTGTTCACAGGGATCTTGAGGAAGAGTGTGATGATATGAACAAGGTCAATGGAGATGGCTGCTCCCTGTTTTGCCGGCAAGAGTTGTCCTTCAATTGTGTGGGTGAGTTTTTCTCTTCCAGCTTCACTGGAAGTTTCAGTGATATGAACACACAGATGCAGAACGAAAGAGCGAGAGAGAGTGGGGGGCAGGGGGTGGGGTGAGCAGAAGAAGACAGGAAGAAAGTAAATATGGCTAGGTTTTCCAAGACCGCAACATCGGGGCAGTTGGCTCAAGAGTCAGTCCAAAATGGCCAGAAGCAGGTATATTGTCAGAGTTTTACAGGGTTTGGGATCCACCCACCAACCTGTGAAAGAAAGTTGGTGCGGGGACAGTGCCTTTACAGCGAGGATGAGGGGCTTGGACCGAGGAGGGAGCTCTGCTTCTTGTATTTTGTAGAGCCCGGAGAACAGGGCTTGGCCTTGGGGACTTGCTGACTGAATCCATAGGCGAGTTGGTGCCACGGACTTCATGGCACCCTTGAGGACACCCAAGCCTCAAAGGCACACGGCAGAGTCCTAGTTCTCAATCTCTTCACTTCCAGGAACAATATGCTTTCTTTGCTCATGCTCCCAGAGATGTTAAAGCTCACCTGGAATCACTTGTTCGTAATTCCAGAGAGCTGCATTAGATAGGCAAAAGGAGAGTAGTTTACTTGTGGAGGAATCCAAAGTATTCTGTATGAACTGGAACAGACTTCCTTGGGTTCCTGCTGGAATAATCTGACACACAATCCCCCAGTAGCACTCACTTTATCTTGGAGGTACCATGTAAAGAACATTTTTGTGCTTCGGCTTTTCAGCGGCACCTGGTGTTTACATGTGTTTAGTTTGTTGCCTGTGTTGCTATTGCTGATATGTGCCATCAAGTTGTTTCCTACTTACGGTGACCCTATGAACACCCTTCAAGATTCTCTGTCCTTGCCAACGCTGCTCAGCTCTCAAAACCATAGTTTTCTTTATGATCTTATAGCTATCCTTCCACCTCTTGTGTCTCTGACTTTCCCAAGCTCACTTGTCTTCTCCAGTGAGCCTCGCCTTCTCATGACATGCCTGAATAACAACAGCCTTGAGTTTGCCATTTTTGCTTCCAGGAAAAGCTCTGGCTTGATTTCATCAAGGACCCCCTGTTAATCTTTCGGTTGGTTCATGGTATTGGCAAAGCTCTCCTCCAGCACCATATTTCAAATGCATCTATTTTCTTTTGGGGTTGAAAAAGGGCTAACCGTGTGCATTTTACATCTGGTAGTTCTTTGCAAGTCTACCTGGCAGAATTGTCCAGGGAAAGATATTTTTCCAAGGGCAGTGGAATTAATTAAGTCCTGGGACTAAGAACCTGTGTTCAAGCAGCTCTAGAATTGCTCCTGGAACCAGAGAGAACAAGATTCAAATCCTTCTTTCACCTCTTGCATCCCTTCCCAGCCTTCTGCACATTTTCAGTTCCTTTGTCCTGCTCCTGAACTGAAACATGGGAAACAAAAAGAACTGCTTGAGAGAGAACTGATTGTGAAGGAAAGGGCAGTAAAAACAATGACACATTTTTGCAAAATGTACACTCATTCCACAAATAACATACATCAGTAATGTTGATTCTATTGGTTGTATTGATCATTTCCTTTTCCACTGTCAATGGTAAATTAGTATAGTAGAAGGAAGAATATTGTATCATTACCTATTACTGTGTGGAAATGTCTCTTGTAATTCATGGGACCTATTAACTAGGCAGTTCCCCCTCTTCTTGCGGATATATACCTACCCGGGGAGGCTAACCCTGCATGGATTTGCCCTTGATATTCATTAGATATTTCTAATGTTCAATATTGAGCAATATCCGCTATAGTTCTTATTTATCTATTCTATGTCCTTATCACCCTGTAACCAAAACTCTCTGCCGGGCTAAATATGTTTGCCTTTTAAGGTGCTGTTACATTTTGCTTTTGAGTCATTGTGGTTTTCCTATCTTGTCTGTCTTGCTGGCATTTATCGCTCAATCAGAAATATGTTTACTAAGGCATAAGCATCACTGGTTAGGTGGACCTGCTTCTTCCTGAAGGTGTGCTTTGGGTTGCTGTCACCCAGGTTGATACTGTCATGTCTTGGCTCTGTTGAGTTCCGCCTTCGCCCTCTTTCTGTATTCCTCCACGACGCTGGATTCAATGGGATTGAGAAATCGATTCTTTCTCTTTTGCCTGCGGTTCAGGCCTGTGACTCTAAAGTCCTGAACCCTCTAAAGCCGATATGTGGGGAGGAGCTTGTGATCTGAGAGGCTGGCTCAGGAGCAAAGGAGAACGGGTGAAGAAAAAGCCTCTGGGGGCCAAAGTGGGCCCAGCTGAAGAAGTTGACACCTTCTTTGAGATGCTAATAAGTGGCCTTGAAGGGGGAATCAAATGTACTTTATCCTTCCTTTTCAGAGGCGATAATTGCTTAACCAGAGATCTTTTGCAAGCCTTGCTTTGCCTTGATTAGCACGGATTGTCCAGCACAATGGCTGGATGGTGTTGAAGCCATCGAAAGGCCCCATCAGTTTGTAGCTCAGAAGATTTAGCAAGTTGATTATATACTTGTGTATCTTGGTTTATGGAAGGCCTACGCTTCCTAGAGCAAAGAAACCCTTTTGCGGTCTCACATCAGCACACAAGACACATGACTGATACCTGTTATTATTTCAGTTTGGGAGCAGGACTGTAGCTGTGGAATCTTATCATGCTATGTATGTGCCAGGACTTGACGTCTTTTCTTTAAGAAAATCCAAAACCAGCATGGTTCTTCTGCCTTTCAGAGTTCTGCAGCTAGCAAAAACCCAGAGGTGGTGCTTAGGGAATATTGTGTAACCCCTTGGATTATCTGGGGGTCTGTTCTGTCCTGTTCCCCATGCTAGTCAATGTCTATGGGGAACCATTGAGTGGGGTCCTCTGAATTCTTGGGGTGTGTTGCCATCAGTGTGCTGAGGACATGCAGCTCTGTTTTGCCTTTTCATCATCCGCAGGTGAGGCTGTGGGTGTGCTAAACTGGTGCCCAGCTGTGATAATGGGCTGGATGAGGGCTACCAGTCTTGATCTAGCCAAGACTGAAGGAGGAAGGCAGGACCGCTCCAACAGAGCAAAGCTCAGGGAACCCAGGTTCCATTTAGATGCCAGGAAGCACTTCCTGACAGTTAGGACCCCGAGGGTGTGGAAGGGGCTTCCGCGGGAGGTGGTTGAGGCCCCATCGGTGCGGGTGTTCAAGGATAGGCTGGACATGCACATGGTGGGCATGTTGTGAGTGGAGTCGGCTGGAGCCGGGGGTCAGACTAGATGGCCCGGGAGGCCTCTTCTGACTCACTCAGTTTCTATGACTGAGATGCTGTTGGAGGATGGTTCCTCTAACCAGATGGAGGTCTTCAACCTGTTCTAGTTGGGGTTGCACTTCCCTTGAAGGAGGTGCTCCTGGATCAATCTTTGTCACTTGAAGCTCAGGTGATCTCAGTGGCTTGGAGTGCCTTCTACCTTCTTTGGCCCTGTGAGTATCCAGATTAGATCACTGTAATGTAGTCTGTATGGGACTGCCCTTGAAGACAGTTCAGAATGGTGGATAATGTGGCAGCCAGATTAATAGCTGGGGCCACAGATTGGAACCCATCAGGCCAGTGCTGACCCACTTGCATTGGCTGCCTGCATGCTTCTGGTCCCAATCCAAGGTGCCAGTTTCAACCTATGAAGCCTTGCATGGCTTGGGGTCACCGCACCTGTTGGAGCACCTCTCCCAATCACAACCTACCAGAACACTGAACTGAACCTCTGGAGCCTGCCTTTGGGTGCTGACTCCAAGGGAAGTCCAGAGGGTGGCAGCAAGGGCGATGGCTCTCTCTGTGGGGCCCCCCACCCCCCGTATGAATCAACCTCCCCTGCGTGGTCTGCCTGGCGCCAAATTTGTCTTTTTTCAAAAGCAAGTCTCCAATGAGGCCGATTCACTATTGGTTGTTGCCCCTGCCCTCTGAAAATCTGAAGCATGCAGCTTTTGAGCCTGGAAGTGCCATATCTCTGATCAAACCTCCTGCCCTCTGACATCATGAGAATATCCCAAGGTTTGGTAGCTCAAAACTTTGAGAATATAGTTTCCTCTTGGGGTGGACAGCTGTCAATCTTGCCCAAAGTTCAAGTCTCCATCAAGGCCCGCTTAGTCCAGCTTTCCTCAGCCAAGTGACCTCCAGATGTTTTGTTCTACAACTTCCAGCATTCCTGCCCTTTGACCACACTGGCTGGGGCTGCTGGAACTTGAAGTGAGAAATAGCTGGGTGAACCAGTTTGAGGATTGCTAATCTAGTCTCTGGAAATACTTAGTAATTTCTGGGCAAGCTTTTTCTTGTTGCCTTTTGGTGTCATCTGGAACTTGGCAAAGGGATACAAAGGGCCCATTCTCATCTGTCATATGTAATTTCTATAAATCGGGGATATTCCATTATTGTTTTCATCCTCCTTCTCTTCCTTCTCCTTCTCCTCTTAATGAAGCTATCGGGACAAGTGCCCCTTAGTTCAGTTTTGTGTACAATGGATTCCTTAAAGCATTCAGACAACCAGGGGGGTTGGGGGATTTGGGGCTACCAGCTCCAGCCAACATGGCCAACAGTGAAGGTTTGGAGGCTTGTAGTCCAAAGCCATCTGGGGGGCTGCTTTCCCCCCTTCCCTGAGTGAATCCTGCAGGTGTGTCCTGAGAAGGAATTCTCTCCAGCTCAACCTGCTGGAAGAATGAAATAGAACGTTGATGGATTTTTATTCCCCACTGGAAAGTAGGAAGGCCCCGTGCCTCCCGCTTGCCATCTAACCCATGTGGTTCTAGGTATGCATCCATCCTCTTTTCTGTCAATGCCCATTTGTATCTTTTAGTATTGTGCCTTGGCACATAGGAGTTGTGTGTTGTCTTGCCCGGACACATTTAGCCTCCCCCACTCTCGGCGCTCCAGGCACCTCGCTTGCCCTCGTTCGCCTGCAGCTCAGTAAGCTCCCTCTTTGTTTTCCTGTTGGTTTCTTCCCCAGCCACCCTTCCATCCCATTTGCCTCCTAATCAGGCCTGGATCAATGTGCTCGG